ATCTATAATCATGTTGATCTGAATTCCAATTTAGACCATTTTTTGTTGATTTAATAATAGATTAAAAAATTTGTCGCTTTTATATTGAAGCAATTAAACACAAAAGGAAACAAAATAAGCTTTTCAAAATTTTTAATGTTGTAATGACCTCACTTGGATGACATGTTCACAGTTTTAATCCAACTTAATTATTTGACTTGGTTGGAAGTGAATGGAAGGTTCACATTATATAAGATCATAAAGTACAAGGGTCATATATATAAATTAAAATGATGAGAGATTGGGTCAACGAAATCAAAATATAAAAGGACTAACTTAGCTAAACTACAACTTTGACCACTTTTCATATTATTATTATTATTATTTTATTTAAATCATTGGGTCCAATTTAGCAATAATGGAAAAGAAATTTTGTATTGATGGTTGCTTTTATCTTATATAACAAAGGTTAAACTGGTTAAAACTCTTTTAAACTTAAAGTTTATTTAAGAATTAGACTATGCATATTTAGATTTAGTCTATTTATACTTTGGAATATTTGAAATTAACTTATTTGATTTTTTTTTAAGTTCCATCTACATTTAGCATATAAAAGTAATGAAATAATTTAAATATCCCCAACTTTAATAACTTTTAACATGAGTGATCAATTATATATTTTTTTATAAAATTAGTTTTAATTTTTTGGAAAAAGCTTATATTATAATTTTAATTTTCCGTATAGATATTTTCATTGTAAATGTTCAAAAATACATAGAAGAAATTTTAAGGCTACTAGTGTCTATTTAAAATAGTAGTTAAAAAAAAACCAAAATTTTTGGATGGAGGATTAAAATTATGATATTAAATATTAAATTTATTTATTTTATCTTTAAATTAAAATTAATTCTAATAAAAAATCAATTAGGTTTTAAATTATTGAAGTTAATGATATTTAAGTTATTTTATTAATTTTATATGAAAAATATAGATGGAATCCTGAAAAAAAAAGTAACTATATGAAAATATAAAGAGGTCAAAACTGAAATTATGAGTGTATAAATCAATTCTCAAATCACTTTTAATTGTAAATTATGCTCGCGACATTATCAATAACACTAAAGTAAAACATGTTTATACTATTCATTCACTATTTGAAACACTATTCACACACTCATAAATCACTATTCATACACTTATAAATGATTATTCCTTTCATTATCAATAAAGCTAAAGTAAAACATGTTTTTATTATTCATTCACTATTTGAAACATTATTCACAAATCACTATTTACATACTCATAAATCACTATTCCTTTCACTATTCATGGTATTTTTATAACATTTTGGTCCTTAATTTTTCTATACTTTTTTTTTTTAATTTCAAACTTTAATTGCATTGTAATTTGATTCTATTTTGTTTTAGTGTTTTTTATTAATTATTTTTATCATTTAAAATTTACTACTTTAATTTGTCATTTTTAAAAAAAAATTCTTTTTTTTTTCAATTTTAAACTTTAATTATATTGTGATTTGGTCCCATTTTGTTTTAGTATTTTTTGTTAATTATTTTTATTATTTAAAATTTACTACTTTAATTTATCTTTTTTTAAAAAATAAATTCTCATCCAATTAATTTAAAATTGTATTAAGGATAGTTTTGATTTATTTTTCTATATGTATGGATTTTGGAATAAATTTTTACAACATGATTATTTTTTCTTTTGAAAAATAGATTTAGATAATTTTTAAACTATAGTGGCATGATTAATTTATATAATTTATCTAAAATATATTTTTATATTAAAAGTGTATTTCAAATAATTGTTTCTCAATTTTTTTATATTATTTAAAATTTACTACATTAATTTGTCATTTTTATTTATTTTTTTCAATTTCAAACTTTGATTATACTTGTGATTTGGTCCTATATTGTTTTAGTAGTTTTTATTAATTATTTTTATTATTTAAAATTTACTAATTTAATTTATCCTTTTTTAATTATCATCTAATTAATTTAAAATTATATTTATCGATAATTTTGATTTATTTTTCTATATGTATGGATTTTGGAATAAATTTTTGGAACATGATTATTATTATTTTTTGAAAAATAGATTTAGATAATTTTTAAATTATAGTGGCATGACTAATATACATAATTTGTTTGAAATACATTTTTAGATTAAAAGTGTTTTTCAAATAATTTTTTTCTGTTTTTTTTATCTTATTTAAAATTTACTACATTAATTTGTCATTTTTTTAAATTCTCTCTGTTTTTTTTTTCAATTTCAAACTTTGATTATATTGTGATTTGGTTCCATTTTGTTTGAGTGTTTTTTGTTAATTATTTTTATAATTTCAAATTTACTACTTTAATTTGTCATTTTTTTTAAATTCTCATCCAATTAATTTAAAAGTATATTTACTGAAAATTGTTATTTATTTTTCCATAGGTAAGGATTTTGGAATAAATTTTTAGAACATGATTATTTTTTCTTTTGAAAAATTGATTTAGATAACTTTTAAATTATAATGGCATGATTAATATATATAATTTGTCTAAAATACATTTTAGATTAAAAATGTATTTCAAATAATTTTTTCTCAGTTTTTTTTTAAACTCAAACTAATTAATTAATAATTGAAAGTCAAATTAATATAGCTTTTTATTTTAATATTATTCATTCTTTTGTAAATAAATATATAAAAATCAAATTCACATTTTTTCAAAAACTGATATTCTCACCAACATTAAATAAAAAAAATTGTTTAATTATATGTAAGCTTTTAATAATTGTTATCTATATCTTTCAATACAATCTTATGAAACATTAAAGTTTTTTTTAAAAAAATTATTTAATTTTCTTTTTAGTTAATAATTCATGGATTAACAAGGGTAAATCCTTTTTCTAAAGAAAAAAATTATGAAAAAAACAAATAAGAAATAGTTAAATACAAAATTTTTTATTAAAAAATTACAAATAATTTTTTTTACTTTTGATTTCATATATTTTTATAGATTCACATCATAAAACAGACTATCAAACTAAAATGATTTCTAAATGATTTTATATATTTTATCCAACCTATAGTATAGCGCTAGCAAAAAAATTAGTTGTCCCATGAAGTAATCGTCTCAGAACTAGGTTACTAAATTTACAATTTTAGCGGTCAAAATTAATAAAAAAGAAATTTACCAAAACCCGAAATGTCTAATGAGCCCGAAACTCGTTCCATCCCTAGTTTGGTTCAAAGCCCAATACAATGGTAGTCAAAACTTGAATTTGACTAAGCCCATACCACCTATACATGTTATTTATACCAGCCGGAAAATATTACAACAAATACTAAAAGAAAACGCTAAACTACTATAGCAGTTACTGTGAATTAACTGTAGCAGCTATTTTTTTTTCCCTCCTGCCCTCTTGCTTTAGCCACTAGCTAATGCCCTCTTTTGTTTTTAATTTTTTTCCTTCCGTTTACTTTGCTGTAGCCAAGCAATGGGGTTTGCTTTAATTTGTTTTTTTTTATTTTAGTCCCTGTTTTGTAATCTCTTTTTATTTTAGTCATTAAACTTTTATTATATTTAATTTTTCCCCCTACAATCAATATTAAAATTAAAGTTAAAATTTTATTATATTTGGTTTTTGTCCCTATAATAAATATTAAAATTTTATTATATTTGATTTTTTTCTTATAATAAATATTTTTTTAACTTTTAGTAAAAATTTATATTTTTTTATTATTTTATGATATTTTTTTATTTTGGTTATTAAAATTTTATCATATTTAATTTTTATTCTTACTATACTAAAACTAAATAAAGTTTCACTATTCTAAGCTTCTTTTTTTTTAAAAAAAAAATTTTAGTTAAACTTTTCTTTCTATTATAATTCCTGTTTTATGATTTTTTTCTTTGTTTTTGTCATTAAATTTAGTAGAATTTGTTTTTGGTTTAATCCCTATTTTATAATTTTTTTTATTTTAATCATTAAATTTTTATTATATTTGATTTTTTTCCCTTACAAGGAACTACTTTTTAATTTTAGTAAAACTTTTTGTTATGTTTTGGTTTTTATTTTGTGATCTTTCTTTTATTTTGATCATTGAAGTTTTATTATATTTGATTATTATTCTTTTTACACTAAAATTAAATACAATTTCATAATTCTAAGTTTTTTTTTTTACTTTTAGTAAAAAATATTTTTTGTTTTTGGTTCTTATTTTGTAATTTTTTTATTTTGATCATAAAAATTCTATCATGTTTTACTTTTGTTCCTATCTTATGTATACTAAATTTTTTTTAGTCTTATTATTTTCAAGTTTTTTTTTTTTTTATCATTCTTTTATGATCTTTACTTTATTTTGATTATTTAATTTTTATCCTATGTAATTTTATCTTTAATTTTTTTTTGTCAAATTCTCGATTTGAATAAGTTTTTTTTTTCCTTTTGTTTTGGATGGTCTTTCTATTTTATTTACAAATCACGAGATGAAGAATATATGGTAAAAATTAATCATCTAAAATTTTAAAAAACTACCACATCGTTATTTTAGTTACCGGTTATTATATATATTTCTAATAAAATACATATTTATATGAAGCAATATTTGATTAGTAATTTTATATTATCCAACTTTGCGGACTTTTCGTATATAACCTCGTAGCAAAATATAATACGTATGTTTTGATGTTTTTTTTTTAAATTTTTTTCGCATGATCCTTTTAAATAATTATTTTTAAATTTTTTATTTTATATGAATGAATATATAAAAATATTATATAAAATCATCCCGTAGCATCGCTCGGGATACATGCTAGTTAATACAAAAACAAAATGTAAACCATTTTTCTTAAAATCTAAACATGCCAACTCCGATTTTCTAATTTGAATGTAAAGAATTCAATTTTCAAAAATAAAAACAAATAGTAATCTCAAAAGAACTGGTAAATAATTTAAATTATATATAAAAGAACCAGTAAATTTTTTCAGACCAAAAAAAAAACCGCTAACATCTAGTCTTGTACTCCCAACTGGCCCGGTTCGTTTACCTTGTCTTCTTCCTTTCCTCCTTTCACACTGTAACTGCCCCTTTGGCGCCTCCTTTACTGTACTTTTTGTTTTTGTTTTTTTTTTCCTTTTTTCATCCTTCCATTTTTACCGTTTCAAAACAAGCATTCCTCTCTCTCTCTCTCTCTCTCTCACTCTCCCCACATTTTTCACATTCCTTTCTTCAGATATCAGAAAACAATCACTACTACTTTCCTTTTGCTTCATCACTTCCTCATTTGTCTCTCTGTTCTCTTCAATGATTCTTTGCCCCGCATGATCGCCGCCGTCTCTCCACTCTTTCCACCTAAACACGCTGCCGCCGTTTTCATTCGGACCACTTGTTTCTCCATTTCCCTTCATTTACGAGCGGATCGTTTGGTTCTGGTGGATCGGGCCAAAATGGATTGGATGAGGAGGATGAGTATCACGTGTTTTCAAAAGAGAACTGATAGAAACGGAATCAAGGTGGAGGTTGATAGTGGCGGTGAGGTTTTTATGGATACAGCAGTTGCAGAGGCTAGGGTTTCGCCTCAGCATCTTGTTATCATGGTTAATGGTATTATTGGGAGGTAATATATATATATTTTTTAATTGGAGTGAATTAGAGTAGCAATTGGTAAAATTCTTCAAGATTAAACCATGCGTGCTCTAAAAAAGTTGGTTATGTTTTTTATGCCTTGCATCCTGAAAACTGTAAAAGCTTAAAAGCAGAGACACCAGAACAATGGGTTTCTGTGAGAGAGAGGCATTTACTTGGTGGTATAAAGCAAATATGAAAGGATGTACTCCTTATTTAGCATTTCAGCAAATATTGTATCATAAAGTTTAGCCTCAACTCTCTTGAAGTTGCATGATGCACACATTGTATACCTTGAACAGTTTTATTGCAGTCGTGATCTTGTTGTTGCGCATGACTTCATTTTTGAAACCCTCCATTTATTTCATACTATGGAATTTTTTTGTAATGAAATGTTTCATTGCAAGTTTCTCAGAATTAGTATAATTAATTGTGAGTATTTTTTCCATCGTAAAATAAATCTACATCAGATGATGCATTGGTCATCCAGAGATCCGTATTCCATGCAAAATCCAAATGATATGGATTTCTATTGATTTTTTGAGGAAGAAAGCTAGCGGGTTGCTATTTTGAGGAAGAAATCATGAGGTCCCTTCACAATAGAATGAGAATAATAATAGAGATTATACTGCAGAAAGGAGTGCTTATATATATAGAGACTGTTAGGTTCGGCTATTTCAAGCAAGATTTGCTATCGTTCATTTCCAAACTTTCATAAATTGCAGATCAGCAACCCCTAAACTAGATTTTCTTCCACACTATACAAACTAAGGTGACTACACTAATTAATAAAAAAAATATATTAGTTTAGTCAATATTACTATTAGTAGAGAACAACAATATGTTTAATTCCTTGAAATAAACAGTTATCAAGTTATTGCACTGCTAGACTGATGTTTGAGGTTAATGTTTTTATTTTTTTTAAGCTTTTTTACTAGAATTCGAGTTATCTTGCATTGTGGCTGTCACAAGTAATGAGCTTTAAATTCATTTTCCATGAAGTGTTTCTAGTTTAATATTGTCATAGAACGGTTATGAACTGTGGGGGAAAACCTTTAAAGTTGGATTTTCTTTTTCCCTTTTTGTGGTTACAGTTCTGCAGATTGGAGATATGCAGCCGAGCAGTTTGTGAAAAAACTTCCTGACAAAGTAATAGTGCATCGTAAGTGCTTTCTTATGATCCCTTCTGTTGAGGGTTCTTCATATTCGGATAGAAGTGGCATAAATCTCTTAATTTTAGTACTTTAAAAGATACTTGGTATTTTGGTATGTTGATCTGCATACGGGCGGTGGGAATTCTCTGTTGAAAAGAATTCTGAGTTCGCAGAACTGGTTGAAGAGAATTAAAATTGCAACATTTAAATTCAGACGCTTTTTTGTGTGAGAAAGCAAAAGTTAGCTATTCCAATTTTGATTTGTTGAATGCTTTTTACCCTCAAAACTGTGAATTGTTTGTTATATCGCTTTTTGAATTGCGATGTTTACATAAACTTATGATGCTTGGAATGATTCCATGTGGATTTTTGTTTTCCATTCTGATTTGTAACCTGTGGATATTTACTTGTCAATGGTTGAATATTTGGTTTTTGACTTGATATTTGTACAAGCAGGCAGTGAATGCAACTATTCGAAATTGACTTTTGATGGTGTTGATTTGATGGGTGACAGGCTAGCTGAAGAGGTATGTTTGGCAGTCACATGTTAGTTCAGGGTAATTTTGTTTAAATAATCTCCTATGTCAGAAAATCTTGATGAGCCATTTCATATGAATCTTGAGTTCTTGGTTAATATCTAATGCAGGTATTGGCAGTTGTTAGACGTAGGCCTGAGGTGCGGAAGATTTCCTTTGTGGCTCACTCACTAGGTGGGCTTGTTGCAAGATATGCTATTGCCAGGCTGTATGAAAATTTACCAAAATTGGATCTCTCAAGTCTCTCTGCGAATTCCTTGAATAGTGAGCATGCAAATTCAATGCACTGTCTTGAGCAACCTTGTGAATCTAGAATTGCTGGATTGGAACCTGTGAACTTCATAACCTTTGCAACACCTCATCTTGGTTCAAGGGGAAATAAACAGGTTAAGTGAGCAATGCTTCTGCATGCTTTGGTCACTATGTTCTTTCTACTTATATTAATTGTCTTCTTGACTCTTGTATATCTACGTTGCCTTCTTCTATTGTTTTACTTCTTTAATTTTAATTGTTTTTATTTTCTTTGTTTTCCTTGCTTAAGTGTTTAGAATATTTAGGAAAATCGATTAATCAAATCTCCTAATTGTTCCAGTGCAACTAGAAATAGATTCGTTAACTAGAAAGAATTCATTTCAGATGTAGGATACCTATCCAGAAGTGGTGCTTTGAATGGGGAAAGGTTTGCTAGAATGAGATGATCATTGTTCAAAACACTTTAGCATGGTTAGGACGCTTTTAGAAATATTAATAAGTGATTAGAGCTTGGAACTCTTGATATGACTAATATATAATGAGAAAAATAGATTTTTAATACAAATAGCATTCACCTTGAGAAGCTTAAGTCGTTCATGACTTCTACTCTAGTTTCAGGAAACCTTCTGAATAATGCACTTCTGTCACCATGCTATTTCTTGTATTTTTAATGCATTTCTTGTGTTGATTCTACAGCTCCCATTTCTCTGTGGTCTTCCTTTCCTTGAAAGAAGAGCGTCTCAGACTGCACATTTAATAGCTGGAAGGACAGGAAAGCATCTGTTTCTCACTGACAATGGTAATGGGAAACCTCTTCTCCTTCAAATGACTAATGATTCTGGTGGCCTCAGATTCATGTGAGTATATCTACAATGCTATCTTTGTTAGGCTACCCATCAGTCTATTAATGAATAAATATTTGGTAACAATGTTTTTGGCGTGTAGATCAGCTTTGGGTGCATTCAAGCGTCGTGTGGTATATGCAAATGCAAATTATGATCGTATCCTTTTTCTTGATTAAATTTGCTTTTGAATTATGGATATCTTCCGTACTTGAGGTCTCATCTCTATCTTTATGCCAGAGTGCATTTGCCTTAACTTGTATTAAGATATGGTTGGATGGAGGACATCATCGATCAGACGTCAAAATGAACTTCCCAAGGTTTTTTCTTAATCCAGTTTTACTCGTCACATGTCTCTACTTAGAGATACATTTCTCCTTTTCATTTAAGAAACTAATTCAAGTGTTTTTCTCTTCCATCTTCATCTCCAGTCCAATCTTCTTGTGACAGATCATAAATATCCACATATTGTATACGTGGAGCAAGAAAGAATGGACCATGATTCTGGTAGAACAACTCTTGTTGGAGAGCAAACAACTGATTTGGAAGGTTGGTAAAACTTTTTTTTTCCCTCTATTTTTCAAATGTTACTTGGAGCAAGAAAGAACATTATATTATTTTCTGGGCTTGGACCTTGGTATCACCTTCATTATACAGCTCAAGTTGCATGCTTAAAGTTGGTTTCTTTGTGCCTGATCATTATTTCTCTGATGATTGCGTTTGATTTTCATAAATCAGTCTTCTCTGTTTGTTACCCTTCCTAATTTTTCTAGTTTGTTCGTTTTTGTCACACATCTTTGTTTATGAGCTTCGTCTCTTTCAATGTGTAGAAGAGATGATCAAGGGTCTGACTCAAGTACCGTGGGAACGTGTAGATGTTAGCTTTCACAAAAGCAAACAACGATACGTTGCTCACAATACCATTCAGGCAAGTTCTGCTGATTAACTTTTCCATAACTTTTGCAGTTCCTCTCTTCTTCTGCAATTTTTTTTTTTTTTTGACTGTTTTATGACTTTTCACATTACTTGTGATTGATTAAAAAAATATATATATATCTCTAGCTCAGAAGGGGAAAATAAGGTATAATTGCACAATTAAGATGGAGCTTGCAACTTGTCTGGAAGTGGGTTTCTAAATAAACGTGACTTGTCTTTTATCACGTGAACTTGCTTGATGGTTGTCAAGGCAACTTGACAAATAAAGGCAATGCACTATACAATTTGAGAATCTTTTCAAATTATAATAGGACGTAGTAAAATACATTAATCTGGCCAAAAAAAAAAAAAAAATCAATGTGTGGTAGAAAAAATTGTTCAAAGTAAACAATTTGTGCTGTTCTCATTTTTGTCATCTTCTTGCTTATGTACTCAGGTGAAGACCTATTGGTTGAATTCTGATGGTGCTGATGTGGTTTTCCACATGATAGATAATTTCCTTCTCTAGCCCTCTACTAGTTGGTCTCGTACAGTTGGTGATCTGATTGATGGATTGGATTGCTTCTGTTTTGATGTATTGGTGTACATTGTAACATATGAAGACGTTGCAGCATATATTTTCATGTCAAGGAGGAGATACCAGTGTACCGCAGAGTTGTTGCTATCTAAATCCCAATAGGTTTGTCTGGTTGTTTGCTTCATGTAAATTCATGTTTCTTCTAAAGGTTATAATTCCTTTCCATTTTATGAAATGGAAAGTGTATAATGAATATTCTCTTTTTGGTTGATATAGTGTGTTCATCTGAATTCAGCAATCCAAATTGCATTGCTGTAATGTTTATGTAGCAGTTACTTGACCAGTTATATTGTATATAATGCTGTCACTCACCATTAGAACCCCCATAAATGATGGAAAAGTAATGCTTGAAAGAATATGTAAATCAGGCAGTTTTAATCTATTTGTTCATCATGTTGAGCACCCAAGATGTGGCTTCACGAATAATTTTTCACAATTATAGTTAAATGATTAGTTCAAGGTTCAAGCAGATGGGCCCTGAACCCTCAAATTTATCGAGCTTACTACTAACTGTATATGTTGTATAAACGAATAGTTTTTTCTCTACTTAGGCTAATTTATATATTTCATAAGGCTATCGATAAAATACTGATGTCTTAGCATGACTACAAGATCTAACTGACTAAATATGCCTCTCAAAATCATATTGTGAAATTCCTTGTGTATTTTATGCAGCAATCAGTAGGCCATGTTTGTGTTATGGCTTAATTAAATAGTGCAAATATACATGAAACTAAGAAGAATTTTAAGACCAAGGAACAACTGAAAACTCTTTAAGTATGTAAGACAGCCATACCTAGATTTTTCTTGACATGCCATTGCTAAAGGTTAGAAACTCCATGATCTCATGAAATCACTGTGCCCAATTAACCATAAGTGGTCAAATTGTTAGAATATTAACTTGGGAAGGTTGAATTTTTTTAATGAACGTGCATGATTACTATAGTTTCAATATGCTTGTAGGTGCATGGATTGACTGACATGTTTTGTTATCTTTTCATAAACATTAGCAAGAAATTGACCACTTATTTTTCCCTGGTTGTCTCATACAAGTGTGATCAGTGTTTTAGATATGTAAATATTGTATCCAACTTTGAAAATATGAAGTTGGCAAATGAATTATCTTAGGTATCAGAATAGAACTATCATGTGCATTTGATGCTAAATTTCCACTTGGATGAGTTACTGGGCTTCTTGTTGCATTCCTCTGAATTGACAAATTGCGTGATCATTGTTGAGTGAGCCTCACATCTTGTAGATTTTGTTGCCTGTTTACTCTCAACGAGGCATATGTTGAGAATTTTGTAGATCAAAGGGGTCGGCATGTCATTTTCATATAATTAGGTTGAATGGGTCCTCATTGGCAGCATATGACCAGCTAAGGGAAGAATGTCAAATTTTAGAATCTGTTTGAATCTTGATGTGTTCTAGAAATGTTTAAGAAATATAATTTTTTTTACATCGAGATGTTTCAGCAAAATCCTCTTGGAATCAGTACTGAAGTAACTGATTAGGTTTCCTTGAATATTTGCTTTACTATCTTGCTTCAACATTATTCTTATGCTGTCAACGAATGAAAACCAGGCTTAAATTGGTCTAATAAATGTACCTGAGGAATCATTTCTCTTTGTCATTCATCTGTCATTGGAAATGTTGAAGAAAAAAATTCTGGCCACTAATATACATTTTCGAGTGAGGTATTGTGTCAATAAGAAAGGAAGAAGAAAAGTTGAATAAAAAAAAATTAAGAAAAAGAAAAAGAAAGAAAGAACGACCAAGAATTCAAGGCATGCAAACAGCCTTCTACAAAACAAAGCTGACTTTATTCTGTGGAGGAATTGTGCCTTGCTATTGTGTGGTACTTGTTGTTGGTGCTTAGGTTCTGCACTTGGAAGCTAATTTTTATGATGGTCGTTTATGAACCTGTGTGAAATGCCAGGTCAAGTGCAGGTTAAGGTATCATCAAGAAGATGAATAGCCTTGAAGGCCATGAGTCTCTTTTCCAATTTGCTCGTCACAGCTGCATAGTTTTGAAAATTTTTGAGTGAGTTGGATAGGCAATCTATACTAAGTCTATTACAGTCAAATTGTATTCCAGAGTTTTACATTACCTTCTTATATCTCGAGTACTTCTAATTGTTGCTTTTTTTCATTTTCTGATCCTTGTGTTGGCAATGATACTTCTGATTTCTTTGTCAATGATAATTCTGATTTCTTTGTCAGCAAACTCGATAAACTTTTGCAGAACTGTTCATGGACAATGATGATATGAGCTCAGTAATAGTCATTATGCTGCATTTATAATCAACACTAATTGTTTTGGCATGAAAGTGACATAATGCAACTTAACAGAAGGTTTTTGTACCTCTTTGTACAATCTTAGCTCCCCTACTGATTTTGATATTTCTACAACGCAATTCATGGGAGCAACCTCAATTACCTGACATTTGACACAGAATCATTAGACTGTTATTGATGTTAGACTACAAAATTCTGATATACTGAAGGTATGTGTAGAATATTTTACCTCTGCAGATAGGTCATAATATGATCTGGTACGTCTTTTCATCATTAGTTTTGGGTGCATTTTCATCTGATATGGTGTAGTATGGTCATTAGTTACTCTCAAATGGAGAAGATCTCCCTTGATGAAGACAGGAATCTAATGAGTTTTTACCTTGGAATTGGTCATCCTTTCGACTGACAGACTCACATCCATTGCAGCAGCTTTTATTTTCCTTATGGTTTCATTAACTGTATGTTCGGATCCTAGCCTGGTTTTCTGCTTCTTGTCTTCCTAGGCAAGAGAAGAGATTGATTGAAATTCACAAATAAACCAAGGAAGTCTGCAGAAAGTAAAGTCAAGGTCTGATTTATAGACTTGCCTGTTCTTCAAAGAGACCTGATAAATCAAGATCATGGGACATTGCTATCAATTGGAAGGCGTTTATGAAACTTGAGGATTTAGGGGTCTCTGTTTCTGAGCCATCGTCCTGCTTAGAATTTCAGGTATTTAGGTGAAATCACAAAACTTGCCGTCTTTTTACTGTTTAAGAACATTTACCTCATCTGCATCGAAAGCAGCATTAACATCATCCAAGAAGATTTTCTCATCGCATTCATATCCACAAGAAGGCATGTAATCTATCTGAAACCATTCATCTTCAATGATCTCTGGTATTGTTATTCTCTGCAACGATGGATGATGACATTATTTTCTTGCTTGTTATGATCTTAGAATTTGTTAAAGCATAAAATCTTTCTTTGGCCATACCTTTCTGGGATTTGGTTCTAATATTCTTGATATTAGTTTCTTTTGACTTTTTGTAAACCACTGTGGACATGCATATTCAGCTGTAGATATCTTTGCACAGACACACATTATCAATGGAGTGATTTCTTTCACTTGGGAGAGATAATTAGCACTGCACAGATAGAATAGTACCTTCTTATATAACATTATGAGGTTCCGTTCGTCAAATGGTAGATATCCCGACAGTAGTTCGAAAAGGATTACCCCACAGGACCAAACATCCGCAGCCGCTCCTTCATAACCCTTATTTGCAATAAGCTGTTTAGCAGAAGATCATCCATTAGCTATAGTGGTGAACAGAATTGAGCTAAACTTTCACCCATCCCACCGCCTCCCTCATTCCCTGACGTTGCAAGCTGGGATTGATTTTTGTGAATTTGGTAAAGCAGGAAACTTGCTTCTTACCTCAGGTGCTACATAGCATGGAGACCCACAGGCTGTAGTTAGCATGCTAGCAGGCTGTCAAGCAGATATTCAACCAAAGTTAGTGGGAATTGTACAAAGCATCATGCAAATAGGCGAATAAGAATAGAAGAAAAATTACCAGGCTTTCCGTACCTTGTGCAACGCGCTTAGTCCAAAGTCGGAGACTTTCAGATTTCCTTTAGCGTCCAGAAGTAAGTTTTCTGGCTGTACGCAAGATGTTCATGAGTTTGTGTAAAATACTTTATATGGAATTGGCAAGTAATGCAAAGAACATCATGATACCTTTAGGTCTCTGTGATAAACTCCTCTGTTATGGCAATAGTCTACGGTATCTATCAACTGGTGAAAGATTTTTCTTGCCTCTGATTCACTAAGTTTCTTGGCATAGGACTGAGTAAACATGGTTTGAACAGGATTAGAAATGTCAATGGAAACACTTTCTCTAGCAATTGCAGATGCAGCTACTTAGATTATCCTTACCAACTTGTCTGCAAGTTGTCCTCCTGATATATATTCCATTACCATATAAATCTTCGTCTTTGTACCAATAACCTGTAATTGTAATTCAACGTTAAGAAGTGTATAGTAATAAGAAAGAGTTCTCCAACTTACCGATCTAGAACTTTAGTTGAGGCCACCTGATAACACATGAAACTAGTCTAGCTAACATACCTCATGTATCTGCACGATATTGGGGTGATGCAGGAGTTTCATGGTTCTTATCTCCCTTTGTACCTGGAATTAGCATTTCGATATATCAGAAAGAAGAAGCACGTTTGGCTTTGGAGTCATCAAAACTTTACTCAAAGAAAGTGGAGAACTGGAACATGGAAATTCACCTGATTCTTGAGATCGCTTTGCATGACCCTGTCCTTATCCACGATCTTGATTGCAACATGATGGCCATTGGTGGAGTTTACACCCAGCTTAACCTTGGCAAATGTTCCCTCTCCGATTGTTCGACCTAACTGGTACGTACCTACGCTATTTCCATATCCCATATTTTAAGACAAAATATCCACTTCTTTCTTCTTCTTCTTCTTCTTCTTCTTACCTATGTTATTTATATCCTTCTGCTTCAAATTGGTGTCTAAAATTGAAGTGATCGATTTGTTTGAGATTGAAGGATAGCTCGTGCCTGCTTTTTCCTAGCAGCTACCATTTACATGGCTTTTAATTGTCATAGTCTGTTTTCAAAGGAAAGTTTTGTGTCTTAGAATTTTCTTTCTATATAATTATGCACCTGTGTATATTTATAGAGGATTAGAAGCATTCATATAATGGTAGACCGAGATGATGACTAGTTGTTTCGTTGATGGAATGGAAAGGACCAGTCGTTGGTTGGCTATTCGGTTGACTCTGTTTTGAATGGTAAGTTAGCTATTGCTGCCACATGCAGAGTCTCAACTCTTAAATACTTAATTGCGGTATTTTGACCTCCACTTCTGGATAAATGTTTCGAAACTATTGGGAGCTTTTCATTTTAAATTTTGATCTTGGCATGTGCCTTGACCTGAATGAAGAGACCAATTGTGATGGATTACGGCGGGCTTTGAAGATGATAATGTACTTGAATTTGGAAAAAAAACTTCAATCGTTTTTCGAAACGTTAAAAAAAATAATAATAATAATTCAGGCTTCAAATTGGAATAGTCGAAGGTGTTTCTTTCAGTTTGATGAAACGTATTTTATTGTGGAACGAATGTCAAGGCTAGCTAAGCCAATGGAATAAGACTATATATATATAATTGAGATAAGAATAATTATTCAAAATTTACTTTTCCATTTGACCCATTATTAATGGTGACGTGGTCAATTTCTCTGGCTGCTCATTTTGTTGCGTCATTGATGTCGCATTTTCTTCAGTCATTTACATCATAAAATATGTGCGCATGGAAGTATAAACAATTATTTACTGGTAGACTTGATATAGCTAGTCTTTCGTCCTATCTGTTTTTTTTTTTTACCGACCATGTCAAACGAGATTAATATTTCATCTGTTATGTTTATAAGTTAAAACAGTCTAATTTGTGAAAATATAAATGTATGGTAAAGAGTTCGTTTTTAAAAAAAGAAGCATATTATCTCAAAAGAGTGTAAAAATTGATTATAAGAGAACCGTCTATAAACACGTCAAGGTCATATATATATATATACGCGCCTCATTACTCCTCTTCGAACGGGGTAGGTGGGTAGCTAGGAAACGGCGTGGTTTTCTTGGCGTAACGCCTAGAAAGAGAATGATGGAAATAAAGTTGTTATGACCACACGAGGTTTCCTTTCTTTTTCCTTGTCATTTTTTGATCCGTACATGCTTGATAAGAACTCGTCACTCAAATCGTTGGAGTTTTTATGCACATAACCTCATGAATTTGGATGCTTGATAAGAACTCGTCTCTCAAATTGTCGGAGTTTTAATGCCACATAACCTTATGAATTTGGTGGTCTCGACATGATTACATGATATTAATACCGTTGTTGTTGAAGGCGATATACAACCACCTAAACCCTCATGCGTTAGTGGCAAAAGCACGGAAGGAAGGGTTGATGGAATCACAAAGGTGAATTTTGGTGATATTTTTTAATAAATGGTAATGTACAAAGGCTCATAGTAAAATCCTAGTGACCACTCTTTTTCAAAAGATTTCTGTCATCGTGCATTTGTTTCTTGGGAAGGTAAGTAAACTAGGATAAGATAAATTAAGATTCGGTAGGTGAATACATAGAGCAAGGTGCAGGTGTGTGGACTTCAACTTTTAAATTAATTTTAGATCAAATAAAGCTGAGTAACATCTTACATGAGTCATTCAACTACCAACAAACCATAGATATGTGGATCAAGATTACGGTGAAGCTTGTCAATTGACTATAAAGCATGATGTGAGTATTCTTTTGTGGTGCTCACTTACAAAAAAAGTTGTTCTAGTTGGTTGGGTGGTAGACCCTTTGATGCTCGACTTAATAGAGTGGCAAATTGGCTTTTGAAGGCTTGTAACACTAGTATGTACTAGCTTGTATGAAATTGAGAAGAGATAGTCATGCATGATGAGCCTATACATAAAATATTAAAGAAATTGTTTTTTAGTTCTTTGTGATTGTGTTGCCTTTTTTTTCCTCTTCCTCTTTGTCTTTGTGAGAAGTGCTTTTATTTTGATTCATGTCGAATGTACCAAATTTAATTGGTTGTTCTTATCGAAATTTGAAGTGAAGATAAGTCTAAGTTGAATCTTAGAGACTAGTTAATCAATTCTATTATGTCTAAAAGCCGAGGAGTTTTGTTGTTTGCAATGTCGAATTATAAAGAAAGAAAAAATAAAATAAAAAAGATTTCAATGGAGGAAAAACTTCGGTTTAAGAGGAAATTCAAATATTCAATTTGCGGATTGATTATTGACACAAATTACTATTTTTTCATTGAATACTTAGCCTACATTTACCTAGTCACGAGAATAAACCAGAATCTTCTCTAAATTCATTAACTCAAAACTTAATGTCCGAATTTAATTCTTGTTATTGATTGATTTTGGTATTGATGCAATCCTAATCTAATCAACAATAACATTAAGAATTAGAAAGATAGCCAAGATCGAACAACAATTTTAGGATGCTTAAATCATTTAATTCATCTTTTTATTTTTCTTAGATAATCAAACCTACTTTGCTACTTGTATTACCTTTTCTTAATAATTACGAATTAATAGAGTTAGCTAGCAATCAATCACAATAGATAATCAACTAAAATGGCTCTTAGACAATTATCAATGCAATCATGATTAATTAAATTCAAAAATCAATTAATTAAGTTTAGAGAAACAAACGATACTTAAATCATTAAGAATAGTTCAAAGATCCGACCCATATTTCATAATTTTTAGTAAATTGAAGTTGAAATTCCTTGAAGCTGAATTGATGAAATTAGCTAGACATTATTTGAAGCAATAAAACCTAAATTATGTAAAAGGAAAGCATATGTAAAGTGTGTCTCTAATGTTCATTCCTAGAAAGTCCTATTTTAGTTGGTTTTCGAAATTGACTTGGACTTGTTGCTAAATAAGACTTAAGGTTATGTTTTGAATCTTTCGAATTGATTTAGGGTCGAAGAAGATAAAATTTTGACTCGATCTATTCATGAAGATTGTAGGCTTGTATGTCATCTTTCTTTAGGATTTTGAATCATCTTAATCAAATTTGTATAACTCTAGATATGGTTTAAATGTCGAGTGGTGTTTTAGACTATAAAGGAATCCGAATTTCTTTTAGATTCTTTCCTAACTTTGTAACCGACTTTGATAGTCTAAAACATAATATATTTGTACATTTAAACCCAATTTAAAAAGCTTAAGATTTCTTCTTTGATTCTCAAAAAGGTTTTTTTTTTTATGTTCTAGAGCTTTAAGGATGTGAAATTCTTATTTAATCTTTTAAAGGTCAATCTACTAGAATAGGAATTTTGCCCAAATTAACAAACTTTTGGTCCTTTGACTTGAATCATCTTTAAATCATAAAATAAACTTAATTCAGCATATATAATCTAAAATAACATCCAAAAAACTAAGTATAAGAAAACAAATATCATCAATAGTGCTCACTAACATACGAAGCAATAGTGAGAGCCTCTTACATGATAGAAATGAGTGTTTTTTTTTCCTTTAAGCTAGCAGAAGAGCTGAGAAGAGTTATTGCTTTATCATCATTGTATTTGATTCTACAACAACACTAATGTGATCATGATGAATGGTGATCTGATTGAAATCATCATTAGAGATTATTTATTAAATGTTTTGTCTCTATGTTGTAACCCCAGTAAAAAAATCCTTATCCGTAACGCAACGTGTATTAGAATCATTCTATATATACGTATATTAAGAGTAAGTATAATTCTCATTTCATCATGAGAAATTAATATTTGAAATATGTGATTTATGTTAAATTAAATTTATTGTGCTTAAGATTAATGGTTTAATTATTAAAGAAATCAAATATGCAAAATCGAGTTTTAAGGACTATATTCTGTCCGAGTTTTGTGTGAATTATTTGAGGACTTTAGGGTGATGTTTGGGTAACCCTTAAAGAATGAAAGTTGTTTATCTATGTGTTGTATATATCTATATAAAATTGTATAATTGTTGAACCTATAAATTAAGAGTTATATCCATTATGGTGAGGATTGTTTCGAAATGCATTCTGCTGGAATTTTAGGAGAAGAATCTGCCCAAATCTTGTGAGATTTATTTGATGCTGTTAGATTGATTTTTGAGAAAAACTTAAAGAATAAAAGTTGTTTTTATATGTGTTTTCTAGCTCTCTATAAAATTTCATAAGTTTTGGATACATATAGAAAGAGTTATGCACATTTTAGTATAGATGAGTTAGGAGGTAACACTCGCTGAAATTTTGAGAAAAAAGAAATTTTGAATTTTAAAAATGGAAAATTTTAAATTTTTTATGAAAGAAATTATGTCTAATTACATGAACCCAGATTATTAATGTGTTTATTTAGCCTAATTTTTCTTTAGCCACCTAAGCACTTGAATTAAATGCTTGAAGCCAAATCATCACCTTTGACTTTCAAAACATGCCAGCTTTGCCTTCCAAGTTTCCTCCACTTTACATTTGGCCTAGTTAAATTTTAACACTTGTAATATAAATAAATGAGAGGATAAAAGGTGGGTATATAAGGGAAAGAGAGGGTTAAATGGCTGCCATTTTTAGGCCAAAAACCATAGCCCATCCAGAATTAAAAGAGAAGCCAAATTGAAGAGAGAAAGAAAGAAAAGAGAAAGAGAAAGGGAAAAAGGAAAGAAAAAGAGCTAAGGAAATTCTAATCAAACCTAAAAGAGGTAAGTAGGTTCCATTTTTTTTAGCTGATTAATGTCTTAAATTATTTTTTTAAAGTTATTTTGTTAGTGTTTATTTCATGGGTTGTAATAATTTTCAATGGTTATATGCTTGATGCTTGGGATAAATCTATGAATGGATGCCTTATTGTGATGATTTATGA